GCTCTTTATGTCTTGCTTGTTATGCAATACAATAACAAGTATCCACAGAGCAAAAATACCTGTAATTTAATGAACTACAGGTGAAATAAAGCGTCAGTTATTTACAGAAATACTTTTTTTTTTTTTTTACTGTATAAGTAATGGATTCAGGGTTACTTATATTGCAACCTTTTTTCCAGCACAATATTAAACCCAAAAATCAGGATATTGTGATATTTATTGCTATAGCCAAACCGGTCCTATTACTATGAGAGCTCATAGTAGCAATGTTAAAGAATCTCAGGCATTAAATGCTGACTGGAACAAAGTTTCTTTGGGGAAAAAGTAAAATTCAAATATTTATTTTTGCCCATTCTTTTTACATTATATTACTTTTAAAGCTGAGTACCTAGTGAAACAGTGATATTTCCAACACCCTAGGGCATACACACAAACTGCCCTATGTTGTGTTCCACACAAAGGAGCCTGACCTACTATAAGCTGTCAGACGACTACTACATCTCCCTTGCAGAATAGCTGTATAGAGAAATTCTACCAGGAAACAAGGACTATTACATAAGCAGGAATACTCTTCCTCAAGACCAAGTAACAAAACCCCTTAGTGAGAGAGAACAATAAAAACTATTCCTAGACTTAAGACAAATTTATCATAAGACTATCAATTATTCTAGCTCACAGATTAAGTAAAAAAACAAAACAAAACCCCAAAAAACCCAAAAAAACCTGTCCCTGGGGAAAATAAAAGAGATTTAGAGAGAGCACTGTCCTTTATACGTGTGAGTGAAAATATTCTTTAAGTGCACACCATACCAGAAGAAAAACTTAAGATAGTCGTGTTATCCAAGATCTTATACATAAAAAGTCAACTTGATCTTAATTCAAGTATGAAAAGCTTCTAAACCACGTAGCATCACAGTATTACAGCAATGTTTGAGACAAATGAAAACTAGATCAGAAAGAATGAGACACAAATAGGAGCAACAGAGTACAGATATAATGTATCTATTAATCTATTCCTTAAACACATCTTTTTATGAACAAGAAACTTCGTATCAGAAACTACTAACGTGAAGAAAACTGGAAAATACACCTTAGAAAGTCAATCAGTTTAAAAGTGATAGTAGGTGTGGATTAAATAAATCCCAGTATATTCCAACAAAGGATATATTCACCTGTTTCCATTTTTTTCATGCAAGCCAGAACCCCAATATCTTGGTACACCTAAATATTTCAGTTTATGGGACTTAGTCCACTTCTGAACTGAAAATGAAAATAAAAGTAAGTTCATGGATTTGCATTAGTAGAGACTTGCATAACAAGGGAGTACTCCTATTGCTTAGATTTCTGCATATATGTGAGCTGCTCATTTAATGGAAACTTGTATGCAAAGTATATGATGACAGTGAATGACGCATCCGTTGTAGTGACAGAGGCGCAACTGAAATTTCAATTTTGACAATACCACCACAACTACAAAGAACATCTTACCAAAAATCCTGATTTTACTATATGTCAGAATTAGATTCTAATAATTTAAAAATAATTGTAAACATTTAATTTTTTAAATTATCTAAAAAGATTCTTTTAAAATTCGACCTTACTCCTGTAGGCTCTATTTTCCTAAATGCTTGTAGTTCATTAAAACATTTTAATAAACTGCTTACTTTCATCTGGCTTAGCAGCTCGCATGTAGAACTTTAACTCAGTAAAAAGAGGTCCATTCTGGCTGGGTTCCTTTAAGACAATTTAAAATTAGTTAAAACCTGCTGTTAGTCCCTAACAATTATTAAAAGCTCACAAAATGTAACATCCACCCTGTAAGACCATATTGTCCCTCAAATGCTCTACCTGGTGCTGATAACTTCAATAGAATATGTTATTTTTATAAAATAAGTTTGGCTCTTAAAATTTCAACTCTTGAAATTTCTAAATGTTTCATTTTGAGATAAGGTTAAGCAATTGATTTTGATCTAGTCACTGATATATGTCCAAACTCATTCTCATTCAGTGAAATTACCTGTTTTGGAACATCCTACACTTAAAAAAACTAACCAAAAAAAGTATGTGATTACTGACAAAGAAACCCAGAAAGAATACAATCACATGACACTAGCAAAAGTTCAAAGACACGTAACATCAATCTTAAATGGTTCTAATTATAACTTTTAAATGCAGATGTAGTGATCCAGAAAACTGCTAAAGGCCAGATGGTACCACTCAGCTAATAGAGGTTTAATGCTCTCTGACATTAACGAAGCAAAGCAAAGAGATCAAACAGATGAACATGGACTGGACTTCAATGTGCATCTAATGCATTGTCTCAGAGGTGGAGCAGGAAGACCAGTGAGAATGAGAGCAGATACCAGCTTAGGCACCACTCCTAGGGCTGGACACATGATTACAAAATAACCACCTATCTCCACCTCACTTTCTCCAGCAGCATTGCCCTGATAAACAATGGAGCCAGGACAGCAGTTTTCTGACCCCTCCTTGTGGGACCAACATTCAGACTTAAGCCATTAACCTGGAAAAAAAACACAGCTAGACCAACTGATCAATGCACATAAACTTTGGTACATGCGGATTTACTCTCAGTTGGTTTATTTATCCACTATGGACAACAAGTTAGTGATCTAAAAATTACATAGAGTAAAAGGGTTACATAGCTAAATTCTTAAAATGCAGTTATCTTGAACAAATGTTACTTGGCCTATTTGCTTGTTTCTGTGTAGCATAAGCCATTAATACTCTAGCATTTTTAGAATATAAATTATATATGTGATTTCAATTCAATTTACACAGATTTGAAGAATGTTCTTACTAAAATACAGCAAAAATGTAGATATTGAAAATTCTTGAAATATTTATCTTTAAAGAAATTATTCCTCAAAAAATTAAGAGTCAGTTCTGAAAAAAAGATAACTGGTTTTAAGTATTGCTCTGACTAGAGAAATATTTATCTTTTAGTATTTGATTGGATGGATAAATTATTTAACAACAAAACAGATCTTAGTGATGACAATGGAGCTGTTTTCCCGTAATTCCACATAAATAAATGCATACACTATGTTGAAAAGGCTCATATTATGATGTCCAACATCTGCCATACTAGCCATCTGATAATAGACTAAGACCAGAAAAACTTCAAACACAAATTCATACAACTTTATGCCCAGGGTCATTGTAAACATGATTTGTGAAACTGAAATTAGAGTCTAATTAGAAAAGATACCATAATGAAAGAGATTATGGAGTACATGTCAAAACCCAACAAATTTCTTCAAGTAGTACTTTAAGAATTCTGATCTTTTTCAGTCAGCAATTTAATTAAGTGTTATTAAACTCTGCATCCACTCCTGAACAATGACATCTGAAAGGTCCACATGCTAAAATGCATTTATTTTTCTAATAAAAACTGTGATTCATTTCATACTGCTCAGACATCAATACTATGAGGATATGTCAAAGACTAAGTCAATTTCCATCCTGCTTTAATAGCTTAATTTGAAGAACATTACTATAGAAACACATGTTTTGTTAAACACTAATAATTGTTCAAAGCTGTTAACCACTTTGCTTCAGCTAATGGATCAACTAGGAATTACCTAGGCATCAGAAAACATGCCTTTAACAATAATTGTGGTATACTAGGCTACACTAGACTGTAGACACATAATATTTGGTGAGACACTGGCACAGGTTGCCCAGGGAAGTTGTGGATGCCCCTTCCCTGGAGGTGTTCAAGGCCAGGTTGGATGGAACTGTGAGCAACCTGGTTAAGTGGGAGGGTGTCCATGCTCCTGGCAGGGGGGTTGGAACTAGATGATCTTTTAGGTCCCTTCCAACCCAAACCATTCTTCGATTCTAATATGTTGTGGGTTATTTCTGAGGGCAGCACAAAGACTGAGGCTACTCTTTATTGCCAAAAAAACAAAGTTATAAAAGACCAGAAAAGAGCTACCAAGCTGGAGAAAGGTCTAGAGAACAAGTCATACAAGGAGTGACTGTAGGAACTAGGGTTGTTTAGTTTGGAGGAGGCTGAGGGGAGACCTCATTGCCCCCCTACAACTACCTGAAAAGAGGCTCTAGGGAGGTAGGTGTTGGCCTCTTCTCCCAAGTGAATAATGACAGGACCAGAGAAGTTGCAGTGGGGGAGGTTTAGATTGGACAGTAGAAAGAATTTCTTTACAGAAAGAGCAGTTGGGCACTGGAACAGCCTGCCCAGGCATGTGGCTGAGTGACCATCCTTGGAGGTATCTAAGAAACGTGTAGACGTGGAATTTCAGGGCATGCTCTAGTGGCTGAGATTGTAGTGGGAAGGGAGGGTTGTGGGTGTTATTTGGTGGAGTCTGTGGTGTTTGTCTGGGTTTTTTTTTTTGTGGGGGGGGGGGCAGGGGGTTGTGTGGTGTGTTGTGTGGTGGGGTTTTGGGGGTTTTTTTGTGATGACGGTTGGACTCCAATCTCAGAGGTCCTTTCCAACCCTGACTATTCTGTGATTCTGTAAAAAGTGAATGGTCATCTGGGAAATCATCAACAGAAGTATTTAAAAATTGCTGCAGCAAAGTAAATCTAGTATAAAAGCAATCCAGAAGTTATGACAACTCTTCATATATTCAAAGCCCAAAGTGGAGAAGCACGTGGACAGGTTTCAGCCTCACAGCAAGAGGACAGCAATTACCCACAGCATAAAATAATGCGTATCTGACAATTTTCCAAGTAAGTCAAAGTGGATTCTTCCATGAAAGTTAAATGGCTCTCTACTTCCTCATCAGTCCAAACTCACCAAGGGTGGGGAATTGGGAGCCACTGCCTCTCATAGGAAAGCCACTGCTGACTTCAACGTCTGTTATCTGCCTCTAAAAACAGGTCTCAGCTCCTGCATAATGGACACCCCTGCCCTTTATGGCAGAAGTTGGACATAAAAAAGCAGGTTGCCACCATGAAACAGCTGCTGGCTAGGCTCCTAGTCTATGTGGAATTCCTGCCCGGAAACACCTGACACAGCAGCAGTATGCTGATGTTGGAAGTGTCACAGTTTGACATATGCATTGTAAGCATTGCTTTTTTCAGCAAGCAACAACACTTCAGGAAAAGGGTCAACATCAACAGTATCTCAGGGTGTCTGTGGAGTATCAAAACCAGTACTCTTAAATTTCACTGTAGTCAGCAGGTGTAAACATCAAGATTAAAGGCTCATACTAAATAAAATGTATTTTATTCTAAATTAACCTGATCTGTTAAGTTTCAGGAGCAAACACTGAAGGCCTTAACACAGTTACTTAAGTGGCCAGCTACTGCAGTTAAGCATTTATGTATTGCCATAGTTTAATAGAAGACTGAAACATTTCAGTTCTGAACTGTGCTGAAGATCTAATTATTTACATTGTGAAGTTCTTGTACAGTTTTCTGGTACTTGCTTTTGTCCCAGGACCAGAAGTACCACCAAGATAATGAATTGTCTGGATCTACTATGGCCCTTCCCATATTTCCAGGTTTTTTACTATGACTATGCCAGGGAATAATTTATAATACTAGAATCTATACAAAATAACCTAGCTAAATTTAAGAAAAAATACTTTATACCTTAGAAAGAGAACATTACAGCCAAATCAATTTAAATAAATATTTTTTAAGATTAAAACATAAGAAAATTTAAACTAATAAAAATAATTTGCTGCTTTACTACATACAATAGGCTAAAAATGAGCTATCAATTATGCTTTTTCTTCTTTATTATCATGAGACTGAAAAAATTACCAATGCCCTTTTAATTCAACAGAAATTAAACTACCTGTGTGTTTAATGATAAAACATCTAAAAGACTTTTTATCTGTGGGGACCTGAGGAATCTAAGTTTTGCCGTTTCTATTCCCAAGCTGTCTGTCAGCTTACTAACATGCAGTTGTGAGCAACACTTCATACAGACTGATTGTTGAATCACAGAAATTCTCCAAAAGCTAGCCAGATTTCATTCATTTTGTGGTATTTGGGCTGTTTACAGGAAGCAGCCACATGAAACAGAATCTGATCCATCAATTTCATTAAACTTTTTTCAGCTCCATTATCCACCCTCATGCAAGAGTCCTAGTTCTTAGCCATGTTCCTCTGTATCACACTTTTATTTTAATCAGCATTATTCTTTTCAGTCAGAAGACATTTTAAATTACACATGCTATTCTAGAAGACACATTTTCAAGTTGTGAAGTAAAAATTCAAATGCTCTCTTACCACTTTTGCAACATAAGGTGCATCACTGCCAACGGACTTTGAGGAATTAACATCAGCTGTTAGAAAGGAAGCATTTAATAATAGTAGGAGAGGAAATTGTCACAAAACACACTTATTTGCTAGGCAGCATGGACAAACAAATGACAAAGCAATTACTGATGTGAATATATAACAGTACATTAGACCTTGGTAAGAGAACTACTCTATAAGGCAAGAATGCTCTATATGGTTCTGCTCTTGCAGTATCTATTCTGTTTGAGGAGAAGAGGCAGTTTACTAAAACGAGTTACTTTTTATCATTCAGTAATTTTTTCCTAGTTAATAGCATTTCTTTCCTTTTCTAGGGCTGTGATGAACATACACAGTTGTGGATACAAAGAAGAAAAACACATTATTTTGCCATTTCACATACCCAAAATTGACTCTGTTGCTACTAAGCTGATGATATTTCTGACAGGAGATACAGGTATGAAGGAAATCACGTTAGGCAAGCACAAAGTACAGGGTCAGGGGCATAGCTTTGTGCAAATGGTAGGAAAGCAAACAGAGGGCAAGCCTTGGCTTGAACAAAGCAGGAGCTACACAATTTGAGTGAGCTGTAACTCCAGTCTCAGTAAATTTAGTACCTCACTGAGCAAGGCTGAGTAAGTAGGAGACAGCTTCTTTGACAAGAAGCCACCCACTGGTCATGTTTTTCTTCTTAATCCACTTACGCTGCAGTCTGTTCATTTTGAAAGCAGGACAGATTATTTTATTTCGATTCAGTGCAACTTTTTCACCAAGAGGAGGAAGACCATAAATGCATAGCAAAAGAAATACTTATTATCACATTAACTTTCATTCCTTCAGAATTGTTTAGAAAATTACTAGGGGCACTCAAGCCTTTTTTTTAATTCCCTGAGGTATCTTCAAGACCTCTCTTATCTTTTCATCTGTTCAAATAACAGACACACTAAGTATGGCACACTATCCACTAAAAAAAAAGTTTTCCCTGAATTCAATAAACTGCATTGCAAAACAAGATCAATGCTGATGCTATAAACTGTGAAGTTCAAGATTTCAATTTGTTTTGAGCACTGGTTACATAAAAAAACCCAACACCGTCTTATGTCAGAAGTTCAAAAGGCAATGAGAAAGTCAAAAAGCAGCAAACTCAAAACCAGCCAAAATACTGGCTGATCAGTAGCCTCCACGTAATATGCTTATACAGTTTCAGTTTGGAATTTGTGATACAAGAACACTCATACAAAGATCCCTTCTTTCAGCCAAACCAAAGATTAAATTTAAATAAACACTAAGGTATGCTTTCACTGCTAAAAAGTAATAAAGATTTCAGCTTTTAAAAAATGAATTAACTACCACCAGAATCTCATATAACCACAGTTCTTAATAATCACTGTTTGTCACTTCTTGTCATTTTTTTCCAAGACCATGAACCAAGCTAAGATACTAGTAAAAAAAAACACAATCATTTCAAAGCACCCTATGTTTCTAACTCAGGGTAAATTTTTCATAGCTTTGAATAAGGATAAACATCTCACTCTCTATTTTCAAGTATCATCAAAGATAACTACACTTACCAAGGTATAGGCGTCCAAAGCCTCCTTGCCCTATAGAGACACCTAATTTCCATTCTTTTCTTGATGTGTCTGCTAGAACCTCTCCCAGAGCAAACACTTCAGCAAGCTTCCGTTTTGTAGGGGCTCTTTTTCCAGTAGTCTTCTTATTATATGGCATTTTCCCTGAGGGGAGAGGGGGAAAAGGGAAGAAAAATTTTAAAAAAAAAGAAAAAAAAAAAAAGGCACATGTTACATGTTGACAAGACTTATTTTATGTAGATGTCCATTAGAAGCATGGAAAAGTATGAATAAAGTTTAACCTTGTTGCTACAAAGATACTTGTAAAAGAAATACAGTCAGTACTTTCACTGGCATGAATTCTAAGTGAACAACAACTAATTTTTCCAGGCATCACAAAAAAATTCTTTGAGGTTGGAAGAAAGCCATAGTAATACTTTTACATGTATGATCTCAAAATAGGTGGTTATGTACAAGTTTGTTAATGATCTTCTAAATGTTGCCCCGTGAACAATAAGCAAATTTTAATTTTTGTTGCTTGCAGTTACACAGGAGAAAAAAAAATTTACTGTTTGAATGCTTCCAGCGTGGGCTTCCCTCAGAAGAAGGATTCCTTACAGTCCTTCCCTGCTTTCCCATAGGAGACAGTCCTCCACGAACCTCTCCTTTATGAGTCCTTCCCAACCTCAGGTCTCAGATAAGCAATATTTCCAGAAATAACATAACATCCCAGTGGAACCAAGCATGTGCATCTTTTTGAAGAACAGGTCTCATTTTGAGCAAATAAATGTTTTGAGTTCATAGCAGAGCCAAAACTGGACAAACTCAAACACAAAAAGGAAGCCTACAGAGAGTGCAAGCAAAGCCTGAGACAAACACAGAGAAACTGTTCAAGCAGACAGGGATCAGGTTAGGAAGGCTAAAGCTTTGATAGAATTAAACCTGGTCAGGCACATCAAGGGTCACAAGAAAAATTTCTACAGGTATGTTGGTGACTGGAAGAGTGAGGAACCACCCAACGGTAAGAATAGACCAGGTTTGAGACTTTCTAAGGAACCTGAAGGTGCACAAATCCATGGGACCTGATGAGCTGCACCCTCAGATCCTGGCAGATGAAATTGTTAAGCCACTATCCATCACATTTGATAAACTGGAAAAGGAGAAAAATAACCCCATTTTTTAAAAAGGCAAAAAAAAAATTACCTGGGAACTACAGGCCAGTCAGTCTTACCTTTGTGTTCAGTAAGATCATGGAGCACATCCTCCTGGAAACTATGCTAAGGTACATGGAAAATACAGAGCTGACTGGTGACAGCCAACATGGCTTCATTAAGGGCAAATTGTGCCTGACAAATTTGGTGGCCTTCTAGGATTGGCCTAAAGTGTTTGTGGATAAAGCAAGAGCAACTGATGTCATCTACCTGGACTTGTGCAAATAATTTTACACTGTCCCACACAACATTCTCATCTCTAAATTGGAGAGACATGTACTTGATGGTTGGACCACTCAGTGGATAAGGGAATTAAGTTTACTTAAAATATCTCCTCAAGAGGATAAAAGAAGGAACTGGTGTTTCTGTCTTTTTTTTCCTTTTTTTTGTGTTTTTGTTTAACTTGGTCAATAGCCATATGCCCGAAGGTATTTAGTTAAAAAAATATATTAATGACAAATTCTCTTTATCCATAAAAGCAAAAATTCAAAATGGACATAAGTTTGAACGTCCCCAGCTGGGAACCCTGCCCTTAACAAATACACTAGATACACATGCATGGTTTCTTGGCTGTATATATTCATATCCATCTGCTAAGATGGCACTATGCCTACTTACAAGTTGGTCAAACTATCAGTAGGCCGTAGGTGCCAAACACTGATCGCTTTCAATGGGCATCATTCACAATATTAAGTCCTCACTCTTCTATAAAAGAGCTGTTATCCATGGAAATATTTAAGCAATGGCAGCACATGCTTTCACATTTATTTGGATAAATCTATTCAAGAATCTTGTATTGATTGAAATCAAACACACCTGGAGACTGCAAAAATTTTCTACACATAAATATAGAAATGGGGAAAAAAAAGAAAAATAATTAAAAAGATAATGACATATAACGACATTTCAGTGCAAATTCTGTCATTCTATAGGCTTTTCAACTCATGATCTAGCAAACACGAGGGCTTTGTCAGAAAGCTTAGGAACCAGCAAACACTACGCAGAGCTGTCTACTACACACTGCACAACTTGAATAAAGTAATCTACTTCCTGAAATCACCTTTAAAAATTCACACACACACACACAAAAAAGCACCATTAACTTTCCTGTATCTCCACTAGAGTTCCCCATCAGTAAATAGAAATACTTCTATCTCACAGGTATTGCGAAGCTTAATTTGTTAGTGCATGCAACCATGCTGAAGTCCTTGGAAACAGAGTGCCATAGATGTCAAGTACTACACTACCATTCAAGTATCAAATAGACCTGACCCTACTTAGCTAAGGTATATGACAAGAATAATTTTCAAGGTGCAGGATTGTAAACAGCAGCATTTTATGTAGCTATAATATGCTCAAAACAAAGACTTTGCTACTAAGAAGTATGAATAACACAAGTCAATTTGTCTAAACTCTCTCCAAAAGCCTCTTATTACTACAAAGGTTATTTCTCCTGCTTCTCCCTAATAAAAGATCTTGGAAGAAACTGTATACACAGTACTTGAGATATGCAGACAATCTTGCATCAGCAGTGCTATTAGTGGTGTTATCTTTATAAATGTTGTCTGCAACCGTTGCTACTCCAGTAATATTTGAACTCTTTGAATAAATATGAATAGCCACTTCTCAATTTGTGTTGGTATCTGTTCTCAGTAAAACATTGAAATTCACTAAGTCAAATTTATTTTGAAGGAAGTATTGCTACTGTGTGGCAAGACAGACTTGATTCTTCTGAGTCTCCTCTTTTATTCTCTGGAAATTATCATTTTTATGGTTGTTTACCTCAGTAGGACCTATTTTCATTCTCAACAAAGGGAAGGTGTGTTGGTGACCTGTGCTCCTCTTTTAGGAACAAAAAGGCCTAGTCCCAGCAAGGCCTAAAATCTGTGTGTCATTAATATTCTTAATGAGTCATAGCAAACATCTAAGTCTGTCTGCAAAAATAAAGATAAAGAAAAACAAAACTGAGCTTTTGCTCAAGGCATAGGAAGGAAAGAACACGACACTTTAAGACTTCTGAATATTGTAAACTGTTTCATAGGAATGACCACCAAAAAAACCAAAAGGTACCTGAACTATCAGTGACTTGTAATATCAAGGGAAGCAAATAGTGAACAAAGACTTTCTTGCATAAATTCAATGTTCTGTCACTGGTCTATCATTGTGTTAGACTTTTCAGTACTGCTATAATTTAATTTCCTGATGATTAAGACATCTGCGTATAATGGTACTTATGGAGGAAGAGGCACTAGCATTCTTTCCCCAAGAAGTAAGAAAACAAAAGACAAAATTAATAAATGTACATTGGTGGACCACAATGTATAAGAAACATGTCATCACAATAGCACCATACTAGGTAAATTGAACACCTTTTTTTTTTTAAACACATCACTGTGTGGCAGTCCTTAAAATTTCAGAAAGGAGCTTCTTCAGAGACAGGAAACAGTCATTTACAAGAGAAATTACAGTATTGATAACTAATTTTAAATTGCCTTCTGAAGAATACATCTTCTTTGAAAAGTATTTAGGATTCTCCTGAACATCATCTATTGCTCCAAATCACCTCATCACCAAACCAACAGCAAGTAGCTATGCCTGTAAGTGAGACACTTGAGTACTTTTTGATAGTTTGGCAGACTGTAGAAAGACAACAGCTCCAGAATTCATTAGGAATCCCTACCTCATCTGGATAGGAACACCAATAATCAAGTGGACAGTTTACTCCTACAGAGGAAGGTAAAAGTGTTCTGACACAGTAACAGCAACAGGAAGCTTCGGACCAGATTTTGTATTTTTGCTAATGATAAAAAGGGCCTATGGATTTCCTATGAATTAATAAATGCCTTAAGTACAGATTTAAAACAAAATATAACAACAGGGTTCACCCTGCATGCAACGCTTAAGCTTGTAACAAGGAAGGCAAACGGCGAAAAACAGAAGCGCAGTAAAACCACAGCCACCGACAGACCAAAACCAGCTTCGTCCAGTTCTTACAAAATAGGCCTGTCTTAATCCTAAAATAGAAGATTTTTATTTGTGATTTGTATTATTTGTATCTAAAAGAAAATATTACATGTGCTTTAAAACATAAACTCAGGAATG